AGGAGAGGAGAGGAGAGGAGAGGAGAGGAGAGGGAGGGGAGGGGAGGGGAGGGGAGAAGGAAAAAACACAGAGAGAAATAATGCTGCAATGCCAAATTTTGTGGCATCGTTCACACAAAAATGCTCAAATATTTTAGAGAGGGCCTGTCACAAGTCTCTCTCCTCACAATGCTGTTGGGGCGTGGAGGGGGGACAGTGTTTCTTAGTAGTGCCCCCCACTTTATGGAACACTCCCCCCAAGGTATGGATAGCCCCAACTCTGTAGCTATTTCACAAATACAGGTACTCCCTGTTTAGTGACCACAGTTGGGACCAGCAACTTGGTTGTTAAACAAAGCAGTCACTAAGTGAAACCAGAACTGTGCTTATGATCTTACTTCAGCTTTTCTTTGCCTTACAGACCTGCGAAGGTTGTAAATGCAAGGACTGGTTACAAAGTTACTGTTTCATCACCATCATAACTGCAAACAGTTGCTAAATGAGTCAGTTGCTTAACAAGGACTATCTGTAGGGCAAAACAGCATCATTAGAAGTTAAGTGAATGGTGCCTTTGATGTACTGGGATTTGTGGTTGATATGTTTTTAGTGTGGGGGGGATTTTGTTGTACCCCTCTTAGAGTCCATTAGGATTGGGGTAAGCTATAAATATTGTAAAAACAACAAACGTCAATCAATCAATCAATCAAATAAATAAATAAATAAATAAATATGAAGCTTAATCTGAATCAGCCCACATTATACCATCAATAAACCAAAAAGGCTAAGTTCCCAAAACAGTTTAAACCTAAAAACATCCCCAGTGTTAACACCAAGCAAGGTAAGTTGTGCAAATGGGTCTCATAGTCAGCTGTCTTAACATTTATAGAAAAATCTAAACAGTAATGCTGCTAAATTTTTTTAAAATTATATTCTTTAAATTTAAAAACGTTGAAAGTTTATAATTTAAGTTGTAATTTCCATGTGCTCATTTGGGTTCAGCATTTTTTAATTTCAGTTAAGACCAAACAGTTGCCTTTGACTGGGCCCAAATTTAAGGAACTTTTATGGCAAACATACAATTAGAACAGTAATTGAAATCCATTGTTTATGAGATTCATCCTTATGAGCTCTGTAGTAAAAAACAGACTGATGGCTGTCCTTTGTAATTTGATTGTGCTGTGGCTTAATTGGCAGTTACTATGTTACATTCCATGTTTTATGATGTAGCCTTAAGGTGATTAGACTGCAACTGGAATTCTTTTTAGTGTTGTGCTGATTTCCATGATGGTGCTTGTTACACAGAATGCTATCACAGGACTTTGGTTAAATTAGCCTTTCAGTCGTTGGGGTCGGATTATCCTTCCAACCCAAGGAAGCATTCTTCAGACCCCACACACATATTGGCACTCCTTTCTTTCTGAGCTTCCTCCAGTCAGCAACCAAGAGCACCATGACTGACCTAAACCAGGGCACCCAGTCTTTTACTTGGCAGCATAAACAGGGCGGCTCACTGATAAAGTGCTTGGTGACTTCAATTCCAGGATGGAACTGTGCATCTTATTTATGGCATTTTGGAGAAGCCAACTCCATCCCTTCAAGCCATCAATGTTTCTGCTCTCCTCCGGAAGGGACTGCAGTGGGTGCAACTACTGAAACCTAAGATCAGGGTTCCCCAACTGCCTGGGGATCTGAAGACCATGGAGATCCGAGTCCCTGATGTGACCATACCCCACAAGGAGACCACATACTGGTGCTACATGACTGAACTTCCAGATGGCTTTGAAAAGCATCATATTATCATGGTGAGTAGAAGGACTGTTCCCCGCCCCCCTGTCCCCAAACCTACCCCCTTAGGGAAGTCAGGAATCTCCTCTTTGCTGCATAAATCATAGGCCTCTGTTCTGTCCTCTTCAGCTACACCCAGTTGATCTCAACTCTGCCCAAAGTCCCCATGATTCTGCCTTGGCTGGTTCCATTCCTGCTTCATCAGTGTCTTCACAGGAGGCTACTTTTATCTTTTTTTTTTCAAGTCATTTTATTAAAGATTATAATTACAATAGTAAAAACTAATACAAACTAAAAGAAAGATAGAAAAATAGAAAGTAAAAAGTGCAAAGGGGAAAAAAAAAAGAAAATGTATAAGGTATAGAAAGAAAAAAGAAAAGTAAGAATATTGTAAAGAAAAAGAAAAGAAATATATAAAGAAGTGACTTCCAACCTTCATCTCAACAAGTATTAACAATTTTAATAACTTTTCACCTCCTCTTACATTACAACAAATGATCTCTTCCTCCCATATTCCATCTCTTATCTATAAACAAATCCATAAAGCATCGCCATTCCAGTCCTGGTGTCAGCAAAAGTCCATTAAGGGTTATCAGAAATAACAACATATTGATTTTTAACCTTGATCAAATAAATCAACTTTACTTCCTTTTACTTGTAACAACCTTAACCTTTAGTCCATTCAAATAATGTCGTAGAACTTGATTTCTTTTCATTTCTTCTTTGTCCCTTCTCACGAGATTCTTCAAAGCTTTAACAAATCTCTTTTGTAAGTCCAATATAGAAAAATTATCCAGGTCACTCTCTTGGTTTATTGTTTGTATATCCCCTTTAATTATTAAAACATCAGCCAGTTTCTTTTGTATGTCCAGGGTAACATCTCTTTCCATGTCATTTTGTAGCCTGGCATTTGTAAATCCACTTTCAACTCATCCTCTGTCTTGTCAGATAAAACATGTTCCATAACATCTTTTAGACACAGTCTATCCATAGAGACATATATCGCTGTTGACATTGTTAATATTAACTTCTGACTCTGTTTTTCAAAAGTATCCTTCATTATTTCCAGTGTTAGAATATTTTGCGCCATTCTGTAACTGTTAGTCAAGTG